ACAACTGGTACCATAAAGAAGTGGCCATAGGCTGGAAAGTCTTGACCAATTTGAAAGATCATTTAACGTAGTTGAAATAACTGAAGTTTTGGTTGTTCGATCAAGTACGGGAAACTTAATGGAATTCATAATTGTTTGAATGGTTTTTTTAGTTTTTTTTAAATTGTTATTGTACAAGTATTCAGGAAAGGGACTAAGACCATTCCAACGCTCCTTTTCGCCATGCATAAACTAAACCAAAAATTAGGATAAGCACGAAAATAAAAGCTTCTATAAAAGCGGATACCCCTAGTACATCGAAACTCATTGCCCACGGATACAGAAAAACTGTTTCAACATCAAAAACAACAAAAACTAGAGCAAACATATAATAACGGATTCTAAATTGTAACCAAGCATCCCCGATCGGTTCTATACCTGATTCATAACTAGAAAGTTTCTCTGGCCCCTTCCTAATTGGAGATAAAACTCCGGAAATTAGAAATGCCAAAACAGGAATAGCACTTGATATTATTAAAAATGCCCAGAAAATATCATATTCGTAAAGCAGAAACATAGACGAACTCCTATGAATGTGGAAAAAATACCCGCTTAGTCAATTCCAATCGGATTGGGCAAGGAATATAGAACTCTTGAGTCAAAACAACAATTCGGGTTAATCAAATCATTTAGTTTCGTTTGGTTGCTGTGGTAGACATCTCATTTTAAGATTTATGGATTGTAATCTTATTTTCAGTACACTTAATTACTTAATATTACCGTGTTTCTATTACTACTAGTTTCTAATATTAATAATATATTATTAAGATGATTAATAACTAGTAATTTGTTTTTTTATTTCTATTTATGAGATTTTATTTATGTTTTTTTTAGAAAAAAATTAGAAAAATATCTTCGTTTTTAAAATTATGACGTATCAAAAAATCCAGTAAGACTTTACCATAGCCATCTTCCTTAGTACCTTAGTATTAGATAAATTTCATTTGGGTTGAATTTAATTAGATTTCGTTTTTTTTAACAGGGTCGTATCAGAAAAAAAGTAACCAGGATTGAATGGGGATACAAAAAAAGAAAGTATTATGAACTTTTTGATTGTAGCCAGTGAACAAGGAAAATTCATACAAAAAAATCCACTTACGACCTTACGACTATGAAAATTAATGAAGAAAAAACGTTTATTTTAAAGTATAAGAATCTATCTAGATATCTCGATAGATAGATAGTGATTGGATCCATTCAAATCAAATGAAATCAAAAATTAGGCTTTCCGTTTTATTCTGAACGATCCCCAGGACATATGGTTTAGGATATGTGAATTTTTTTTATGAACCAAGTAATTGAAAGTAACCATTTAAAAATAAAGAATACAATAAAATAATAAGTAAAATAATTATCCAATTATTTGGATTTCAATGTCATTTATTAGAATAATTTTCTTAGTTAGGGGTTAGGGCTATACGGACTCGAACCGTAGACCTGCTCGGTAAAAGAGTTTGAACTTATTATTATCAAAATGATTCGAACTCTTTCAAAGACCCAACATGAATTTTTTTTTTGCATTGGGCTCTTTCATTAACTGACAGAAAGATCAGTTAGTCTACCATATTTTTTCTTAAAAAAGAAAAAGATAAGAAATGGTTCCAAGTACTCTGATTGATTATTTTTTAATTCTAATACAATACAGACGAACTACCAAAGTGTTTCAAAGAAGGGTTGGGTTCTCTTGACGTAGGTTTGCTTT